GCGAGGAAGAAAATAAACCGTGAGCCATTGCATGATTTGAAAAATAAGCAGCGAAGTTCCTAGTACTGTACATCGCAACACATATCCCTATATACTCTACAAAAAGCAAATACAGTACTGTCAAAGGATTAAAAAAAACTAAATTTATGTTCAACTTGAAAAAAAAAAGAATTTGATTCCCCCATTACAAATACGGTGACAACCCCACATGCAGACAATTCAACATAGGGACACTTATTTTCCCAGTAAAAAAATAATAAAAAAGGCCCGACATGAGGACACTGACTCGACATAGGGACATTTTGCGATGAAATTGCAAATACATTTCAGGCCAAATCAAAAGAAACAGATGTTTCCAACTCTAAAATTGATGTAAGAAAAGTACTTGGGGATTTCTTTCACCAATTCAAGATTAATTTAGCTAATTTAAAAAAATTACCTCCAGCATAGAGGGACTTCCTTCTCTCTTTTTCATTTGAATATTATTTTTACAGGGAATGCCAACATTTCTATGTACTGCACAGAGGTTGCTCAATTGATCAAATAAATGTCCATATTATGTTGAAATATATTGATTGGAATCAATTTAAATTGGGAGGACATTTTTATTTTCATGGAATTACGGTGATTACAGTATTTTGTAGATAAAACACAAATTAAAAATTATATAATGTAAGTCTAAGGGAAAATGAGACTCGACTTAGGGACACTCTTGATGCGCCAAATACGTCCGCATCTCGGGATCTCACTGTATTCTGAAGTCATAAAAAAAAAAAATTCGCGTAAAACATTTTAAAACAAAAATTAGGTAAAAAAATATAGTACTTGTAGATATTTTTCACGTATACTATACATCAGATGACATTCATCATCTAATAAAGACTGCTGAATGGCTGTTACTAAAATCAATGATCCCCAAATGAATCAAAATCACCAACACTTAAAAGCAATCAACGAAGGAAAGACACTTGGTTCTTGTCATCGCCAAAATTTAGTGCACACTACATTTTTTAACGCGGAAATTTCCCCCGGGATTTCACAACCCCTTTCCTATTTTGCACGGGGGCGTTGCACAATTTTTTCCGACGCACTTCTCGGTAATACGAACCCCAAGCAATAACCTCTCCTGCACATGTTCTTCCGTTTCATCATTAAATTACTCCCACGAACCCTTTCGTTCAGCAGTTACAGAAGCTATGAATAATTTTGTTTTCTGGCACAGGAAAATTTATAATCTTTCCGAGTGCCTCGAAATAATCTTCCGGGCCGGGAAAATGATGGAAACATAAAATCCACGCCATGAAAGTTTCGAGTCCCGCATCAAGTCGAAGGACTGAACTCATCCATCAGAGAACTTCGGGAAGTATCGGGGATTTTGAACTGATGGCGAGATTTCGGACTTCGATATTATGCAAGGAGTGCGTCACATTTATCCCCGAATTCAAATGAAAACTTTTTAAATGTTCTTCATAACTGACGCGAGAAAATACTCGGGAGGGCAAAAAGGGGGGCGTTCTCTCAATAGTTCATCCGCCATCAGGAATAACGATTATGGCACGTAATTTTTTTGATAGCGCAAAAATAATTCACTGACCTACGACCCAAGCTGAATACATGAACTTCAGCCAGTCTCCTAATCTTCTCATCGAAGCATTAGCGAATAAACCGTCCCCGCACTTTCTCCGGAACCAATCACGAAAAAAAAACAATCCGATTTCATCACATCTTAAACCCGACGCAGAAATTCATTCAGAATCCTGAGAATAATTTTTGGGATTGAGCTGAAGCTCCACAAACTTTTACCATCACATTTCTTGAATGGGCCATAAGGTAGCTTTAAAGTACAGTACTGTACTGAGCAGTGAGAAATTGTGCAGAAAAAATAGTGCAATATATTTTATTGCACTTGGTCTGTCTTCAACGCAATAAAACATCAAGATTATACTTCATATTTCAACAGGGAGAAAATCTCCTCGAGATGAGAATTGTCATCAGTTACGATCTTTTATTTTTCTGCAGTCTCCATTTCAACCAGTAGCATCAAAAATGTGCAACCCGGGTCAGTAAACGATTTTTAAAATATTCTGACTAGATTTACGCCCATCAATACAATTCTCATACGACTCCAATCAATGATTTACAAGACTGACAATCACGAATGTAGATTATTTTTCTTCAGACGTTTTCTTTTTCTGTACAGAAAAAATTTTGACCACTCAAATAAAAATCTACTGTTTACTTAAACTCCGCAAAAAATTAGATTGGGAGTTAACAAAGTCTGTGCTTCAACACCAACAGAACAAAGGGGGGAAAATCGAATTTCGCAGAAGAAAAAACGCTTTTACATTTTTTCTCTCAAATCTACAAAGCGACTATTTTTCTCCGAATGCTGGAATTATTTTATCTTCGTCAGTACTTTTCGTTTCCACGCAAACCAAACATGTTTACACAAGATGATTTGCGACAATCGGCACGCAAGGAAAAATACTCTCAAGTCATTCGTTGCTCTGCGTCACGGTGGTTCAAAACATAAACACTCATGATCGGAACGCGGAGGAAAACATGATAAGATGACGAGATGTCGAAGGGAATCGGAAGAAAATTCCACGCATTATGGAAATATTTTCCAACCATGTTTTTTTTTCATAATTGCGGCACAATGATTCAGGAGAAATAGCATCAAAAAAGGGAAATGTTTGAAAAGTGTTCTTCGGAAAAGTGCAATTCAAACGCGTTTTTTGTGTACCCTTCACTTGAAGAACTTGAGGAAGACGGCGAAAAGAGAAAAGGCTCACCAAGAGTTCACATCCCAATCCACAATCAGACTGCAAATTACAGTGAGACCCCCACATGCGGAAAATCCGACATAGGGACACTTATTTTCCAATGAAAAATTGATAAAAAAAAAAAAGGCCGACAGGAGGGCACTGACTCGACATAGGGACATTTTGTGATACAATTACAAATATATTTCAGGTCGAATTACAAGAAACAGATATTTCCAACCCTAAAATTGATGTAAGAAAAATTCACTTGGGCATTTCTCTCATCAATTTACCATCCATTTAGCTAATTTTAAAAAATTACCTCCAGCATAGAGGGACTTCCCTCTCTCTTCTTCACTTGAATGTTATTTTTTTTACAGAGAATGCCAACATTTCTGGGTACTCTACAGAGGTATCAGAATTCAATTCCCCAAATAAATGACTATATTGCGTTTAAATATATTGATTGAATCAGTTTAAATTGGGAGACAATTTTATTTTAATGGAATTATGGAGAGGGTGTTTTGTTCATAAAACACCAATTAAAAATTATATAATATAAGTCTAAGGGAAAATGACTCGACTTAGGGACATTCTTGATGCACCAATTACGTCCGCATCTCAGGGTCTCACTGTATTTCCTTTGATTTTTTTTTCTCACCGCACATGATTTATTTTTTAATGGTTCAGAATGACAGAAATACATTTTCCCAGAAAGAGCAAGCAGGAAAGTACTGTACAAACAATACTGCAATGTTAATTTTCAACCACAGTCTCCAACAGAGTGTTTCGGCTTCCCTTCACCAGTCCCTCTTCGTTACAAGTACAGTACTTTACCGTACAGTTCTCAAAGAATGATTTTCAACTTTGAGCAATAATTCATGCCTCGTGAACTTTTCCACGTGGAACTTTCTAAGAAAAAATCGCTGGAGTGAGAGAACTCATTCGTCCCGTTTTATTTCTCTTCCTCAACCCATTCACGCAAAAATCGATTCTCATCGCGTCAAGATTAATTCCGCACAGGCGAATTCGGATCAAATTACTGCCCAAATTACTCAAATTTTCGGTTCAACCAGCCGAACGGACCAATTTAAAGAATGGATCAACATTTCCAGTCACTCGAATATATTATTTCCGGGAATGCCAGGACAGCGAAATATTCTTTCCCAATACACTCAAGACCAAGCCAAGCTTTCGACATGGTCAAGACAATTCCCGAGGGAATTTTAAACCAGCGAGCTTTCCAAATACTGTACGTTGCGCTTCATTTTCTCGTGAACGAAACGAGGTTTCTTTGTTGGGTCAATAATCCTTCCAACGGGCTGGAGCGAAGTGGTCAACAATTTTTTGACAGTTACGCAGAACAAAATTGAATCGAGGGGGCAACGATTGATGGAACGGAACGTACTCGTGGAGATACAGTACAATACGACACTGTATTTCCATCCAGTCGTCAACAATTTCTGACGGTTACGTGTGGATGAAATTGGCTTCGAAAACGTTATCAGGGAAATAGGGGCCTTCATTTTGAATTTTCGTGTTGGAACTGGGACAGGAATGCAGAATTTGTCAAGCATAAGTAATGATGCTTCTGTACATGACCTGAGACGATTTCAGGAAATCCGTGAAAGGGGTTCAGGTGGAATTTTCTAAAGTGGTTGGATTTTGTCCTTTGATTAAAGTAAAAGGAAATTTCCATTTTTTTTTTTTTAGTTTAAAAGGGCTGAGAAAACTGTACAGCAGGCAGTTCCCTCCAAGACTTGATGCGGGAAATTGGTAAGCGAATTTTGTGTGTGATTTGGACTTGTGTATTTATGTGAATAAACTGGTCCAAATTACTTTATTGCGTATTTTACTGGGTAACCTATCGTTCCAGGTATAGTAAATAATTTAAAGGATTCGAGCTATCAAATTCTGGTTTTAAAATAAATATTCAAAGAGGAGATTTCAAGTAACAGTTACGCAGAATTGAATTGAATCAAAGGGGGGCAACAATTGCTGGAACGGGAAGTACTGTTCAATACAATACTGTACTTTCATCAACCAGATGCAAGGAACAAGGAAGCAGACTGTAGTTGATACGATTCAATGGATCAACGAAAATGCACCATTGTGACTGATAAGTGCATCTACACCCAAATAAAAACAATGAATTATAGATTTTTCATAGGAATTCCTCACTGCACGAACTCATATTTCCAACACCATGATGAGAATGAAGGTGAATAAAAATAATCACTCACCAGAAGTGCCAGAAGGTGCGCCAGCAGGTTGCTTGGATCCTTCGGGATTCGCAGAAGAGGGTTTGATCGCATCTTTGACGCTGCTGCAACACACAAATCAAGCCAAACCCCCAAACCCGATCAGCATCAAGAACAACCCTCGCAAAAATTAACCAAATAAATTGGGGGAAATGACAAGAGAAGGGCAGGTGAACGTCCCAAAAAAAATGAACGCAAGCTGTACGAAAAAAAAAAAGAATTATTCAGCGAACGAAAACAGCTGCTCACGCCAAGATAAGAAATCGTGTCCGATTTTTGAATAAAAACTTTCCGTTGGCAAACAAAAATAAAACAAACAAAAACTTGGCACACTAGAAAAAAAAGGGCTTCATGGGGATGGTATTTCGAAATATTCGGAACTCGGGGATGCTGTGAAATCATAAATTTGCGGAACTTCATATTCGATGTTCGTTTCCCAACTTCAACACACCAAGCGTTAAGTCCACTGTCCGACTTCGAACGAACAATCAATTCCCTTTCATCATTTTCATCGAGTCATAATTTCCATTTTTTTAAACTGCGATTTACTAAATCCCGCAATGAACCATGACCAGCTTGTCGACTGGGTTGGGTATCGCTTTCGAATAAAATATGGGCTTCGGATTACCGTAGCTCCTCGACGGAGAGAATTTCGAATGCCTCGGAACACGAAATCCGTGAAGTTCTGCTCATCACGCAATTAATTTCTCAATCGAAGTAAAAATTTTCAGGGGAACATGGAGATCTGAAGCACAAATTCAAATTTTGTCCAGACGCTTAAAATAGAGGAGTTTCTAGTCAGCTGGAGCGAATATTACTCGCATGCGACAGAAGTAATTATAGCATATGCATTTTTACTTCCTGAAATTAATATTCACATACTGTCGGAAAATAACTGAGACTGTTTGAACAGGAGAACTGCAAGGAAATACGTTCTTTTTTATTGTAGATTTTTGCGAAACGTAGCGGAATAAACCAGAACTCAGTTAAAATGAAATACAGTACTGTAATGCTAATTTTAAGATAAGTATTGTTGAGGAGGGATTTCATAATCCTTCGAAAGTCATCACGAAACCCAAGATGAACGCAGAAAAATGAAACAGTACCTTCCCCAAAAATTCGCGTGTAAATAATTCTGCACATTAAAAATGCCAATTTTATGCTTTAAAATCTGTAACGATTTTTCTTCTGCCAAGTTATTCATACGTCCGCTTCTTGTGGAATATAGAATCTTTCCTTCATTTGACGGGTTGCGTCGCGGGGTTTCACAAGTTGTTGAAATACAGTTTAACTTAATTTCCTTGGTGAAAACATTTTTCCTGTAATGAAGAAACGCACTGAAAATATCGACAGAAATGCTTCAGTTTCATTTTATCGAAACAAAATTTTTCAATTGCTTGATACTGATTCGCAGAGTTTGAGTGATCGAAGAAATTACTGTATTTTCTATCGTTCATTCAAAACCTTCAGAGGGTCTGAAAAATGGTCTTTTTCACCCAACACACTCGGGAGAAAAATTTGTTTGCCACAACCGAAATCAGCTGTTTATTCGAGTTTATTTTCAGAGGCTTCGCTACAATAAAACTCCAGCGATCTTGAAAGAAGTTTTGTCATCAACATAAATTCGTTAAAATTAATTTAAAATAATGATGACCCAATCGGACATGGACCGAAAAAGCAAACTCGTCCAAAAAATCAATTCTCTATCACAAGATTCTAATGTAATAAAAAGTTCAGCATCAAACTTGGTTCGGATATCTTCCTCAGAAATAAAAAAAAAAGCATTTCATCTTCTACAAAAAGGAAATGGACAAAAATGCAGCAGCTGGTTTTCGCCCGATTTAAAAATTCTGTAAACGGCAGAAGTTTTTCTCCAAGGTTGCTCCGACAAATGCCAGAATTTCTTCGCAACCCATGGTTCATTTTTTTCATTATTTGTTGTTATTGTTGCAGTTTTAGTCGGCAAAAATTCGCCGAGTTTCTCTACGTGATGTAAGACAAGATAATATTAGGTATCTTTGCAGCAACCGTCTCGCTTCGTCTTCTTTCTTTACTTGATACTGATTCGCAGAGTTTGAGTGATCGAAGAAATTACTGTATTTTCTATCGTTCATTCAAAACCTTCAGAGGGTCTGAAAAATGGTCTTTTTCACCCAACACACTCGGGAGAAAAATTTGTTCGCCACAACCGAAATCAGCTGTTCATTCGAGTTTATTTTCAGAGGCTTCGGTGCAATAAAACTCCAGCGATCTTGAAAAAAGCTTTGTCATCAACATAAATTCGTTGAAATTAAATTAAAATAATGATGACACAATCGAACATGGACCGAAAAAGCAAACTCGTCCTAAGAATCAATTCTTTATAACAAGATTCTACAGTAATAAAAAGTTCAGCATCAAACTTGGTTCGGGTATCTTCCTCAGAAATAAAAAAAGGCATTTCATCTTCTACAAAAAGGAAATGGACAAAAATGCAGCAGCTGGTTTTGGCCCGATTTAAAAATTCTGTAAACGGCAGAATTTTTTCGAAATTCTGTAAACGGCAGAGTTTTTTCTCCAAGGTTGCTCCGACAAATGCCAGAATTTCTTCGCAGCCCATGGTTCATTCAAAAGTAATAAACAACAATAACAACGTCAAAATCAGCCGTTTTTAAGCGGCTCAAAGAGATGCACTACATTCTGTTCTATTATAATCCATAGAAACGTCGTTGGCAGAGCGAAGCAGAAGAAAGAAACTTTCTCTCTTTCTTTTTTTTTTCTTTCTCGCGGAAATGTCATTAGAGCACGAGGTATTGTAGAAGAATCTTCCAGGGTGTCCCCGTCAAAGTCGTACGAGACTCGGGAGGGGCTCACCAAGAAGTTCCAGCAGGACCCAGGTCGTCGTTTTGAAGCAGTCGCAGCCTAGAGCGATACACAGCAGCAAAGACTTGCAGGCCCAACACGGGATACTGAGCCAAACTGATGCTCTTGGCCAGCTTCTGGAGCAACAGGGCTTCGACATCCTGCTGACTGAGCCCACCGACAGGCGTGTAGCACACCATGGCTCTTCAAATGTTTCTTTCCCAAGTTGTGCACTGTCTTTGAATTTTTTTTTTTCAAAGTTTTCGGTCTCAAATGGAGCCGATTCCACGCGGTTTCACGCCGATTTGCGCGAAAAGAACCAACCGTGTTCCTCAAATCACGTCGTTTGGCATTGAAACGAGATATTTTTTGTTGTTGGGAAAGCTCGACCGAAACGGGATCATGGTCGAGCCACGTCACTCATGATAAATCGGTTTATCATGACACACACGTTTTTTTTTTTAATTTTCAGAATTTTCATTTCATCGAAGGAATGCTGGAATTCAAGTAAATACACGAAGTGGAGAAACAAAGAACAGTAGCCGATTAAGATCATCGATTCGACGAACTTGATGCCACGATGAATATACAGTACCGCAATTCAATCAAGAGATTCCGCAAATACGGGCCTTTTGCCTTTAGTTTCGCCGTCGCACTGATCCAAAAAACTTGACCCAATGAAAATTCAAATGTTCCAAAATGTACGAAATTCCCGCTAACTCGAGTTGAAATTTCAGTTTAGACTGAATCGAGTCGCTGACTATTTCTTTCTATTTTTTTTTCTATAATCTTGCCAAATGTTCTCTTCACACGCGAATTTTTCACTTGGTTTGCTTACGCCGATAAGCTAGTCAAAATTTAATTTTTCATTATTATCACGATTTTATCGAATATTTTTTCGGCCAAATCCATCCTGTAACTGCTTACATATGATGCCTGATTTTTCAAGTACAGTAAAATAATTTGGGCATTTCAAGATTTAATCTTAAAATCGAAAAATTGCAGAAGAATTTATATCCTGCGAGCTAATGACCGGGTGTCTTTGCCCAGATCATCTAATACAGTATCGACATATTTTATTTCTATCATTCAAGAATAATTACATAAAATTGTAATAGGTATATTCCACAAATCTTGGAAGTTGATTGGAGAATTTAATTAGCTCACAATGAAGAAATAAAGCGCCCTAAGTTAAAATAATCTTTGTTTCCTCTCAACGAATCAGAATTTGGCCACAGTTAATGACACTCCCGACTAATTAAAACCCGGATAATTGAATTCCGCCATATTCTAGAACTAAAAATTCAAATTAAATACGAGTATACGTTACATACATTTTCTTTCCCCTTTTCGACTTGACCGCACAAGAAGGTGATTCTTCACCTCGACGTATCATGTTTCCTCTACACACAGAACTTGATGAACGCATGCCTCAAGACTGCGTGACAAAACGCCTCAGACATGACACCGCAAAAATCCCTCACTAATATAATTAATATGCACGAGGATGCGCGTTTAAACACCGTCGTCAGCACGTGACTGCTTGATTTTTGGAGGCAAGGGTTGACGGAATTGAAAATTAAAACCTTAGTTGCTCATTTATCGCGTACGGCGCATCGGAAAGTGAAAAAAATACGATCACACACAAACACAAAAACCTCACAATCGCGTTTATGCAAAAAACGTCCTTAAATCAATGTAACCAGACAAAGAATGTCCTTCCTGCTTTCGTCTCAAGTGCTGTACATTGTCTGACATGAACAAAAACGAGAAATGATTAAACATTTTCAAGACTACGGTGGTCAAATTTGTGGTTGGTACAAGTGCCAAGGATTGCTTTAAATAAACGTGAACGATCTCCGAGAAAATTTGTTCAATAACTCTTGCAGCCTTTAAAAGTACGGCTAGAAATTTTGGATTTGCAGTGGCAATCCGAATACTACAACTGCGATTGCAACGTCAAGGGTTCGCCAAAATTTCAAGCGATGAGCAAGAATTTGCTAATACTGAGGTAAACAAAAATTGAGGTTTTCGCCCATCAAAAGAGTCGGATTTCTTCAATTTTCGAATGGATCTCGCAACCAATCCGAGGATCCTCAGCAAAAATTCTATCTCGGGGAAAAATCATTGATTTTAAGCAGTGTGCCAATTTATGGACTCATTTTCTCAGTTAAAATGTGTAAAAATCAGATTTAACAGCCCTGGCGCATCGTTGAATGATAAGGTTGCATCACCAAAAATTCGTTCCTGAAAATATACAATTATTCTTGAGAGTTTAATTTTCATAAAAAATGAACAGGGCTGCGGTAAAAAGTTGATTTAATCCTGACTCACCTCACACTAAGATATTTTAAATATACATTACTAAGACTCGAAACGTACGGACTATCCCCTCGTAATTTAAATTACGTAACATTTTCCAGGAAACACGAGATATCACCACTCGGCGGTTTTCAAAATTGGTCAAATTGTGCGAGCAAAAGTCGCGATAATTTCCCACCCCACCAACAAAAAAAAACGTCGCTCCCTTTCAAAAAATATTCCTCTTCCCGGAATCCCGGTTGCGTCACTGCAAGACAGCGTGAGAGTTAATCGCAGATGCCCGAAAAAAAGGTCGTAAATTAGGAGAATGCTGTACGCATCAAGGAACGAGAAAAACGTCATCATGACCCAAGTGAGGGAGAAGAAGAGGAATGAGATGCGTTTAGACTTCATAATACGCACGTGCGAGGGATTTTTCAAAAGTTTCCCGAATTCACTCTAAAATGTACACTTCAATTGAATGAAAGAAAAAATCAATTTCCAGAAACGTATCGTTGGCTTTTACAAAAAAAATCATCGAATTTGGCCCGAAAAGAACACAGAAATGGATAGTTTTCTAAATTCTTTTACGAAAAATCATCGAATTTGGCCCGAAAAGAACACGAGAAATGGATAGATTTTCTAAATGTCTTTTACATCCTGCGGAAAGGACGTAAGCTCTAATTTTTCAATAACTCGTCGGGGGTTTCATAGTCATACAAACACCCGAACTTCATTAAAAATACTCTGGGACAAAGCCCAAAATTGCTTCCAAGTGGCTTTGAAAAGGTTGGGCGATCTTTTTAATGAAGAGGAAAGGACATACAGTAGGCTATAATTTCTTATTGAGTTTACGGGAGTCTTTTATTAACATGGACACCCTCAAAATAAAAATAAAAACTACTCACGAACAAAGCTCAAGATTTTGAGACTGTTATTACATGGATTTGAAAACGTTGGGTGAACATTTTCAGTGGCCTTTTAAATGCAGGATAAAGTAAGTACAGTAATAATTTCTTCATGACACGTCGAGAGTTTTCTAGTCATAGAAACCCCGAACTATTTACTCACGAACAAAGATCAAGATTTTAGGAATGCTACTAAGCTGCTTTGAAAAGGTTGAGTGAAATTAGTCAGTACCACTATTTATGAAGGGTATGAAGGGCGTACGGTAGATTCTAATTTTTAGATTACTCGCCGGGGGTCTTCTCGTCCCAGGGCCCCAAAAACGTATCAACTAAAATACTCAGGGACAAATCCCAACATATACTGCTACTAAGTACTGTATATTTAAAAAGGTTCGTTGGAAATTGTTAGTGACCTTCCCAATATACAAACGAAAAAAGCAGGTACTTTTTGAAAAAAGAAACAGAATAAATATTTCGAATTGGAAGCTTATTTCTCAGCATTTCCTAAAAAATATTTCCAAAGCTTCCCAGAAACTCTCCTTGGCTGCTTCCCTCTCCCCACGTTTGCACCGGAATAATTTCATCTCCATATAGAAAAAAAGTCTAAAAATGAGAAAAAGATTTCTTCCATTTGGAATGAAAATGCGATGATGGTAACTTGAAAGAACTTTCAAGAAGCCCCGAGTACACGTGTAAAGTGACGTAACCGAAGCCACCACAAGTTTCCCAGTTCCTCTTCGCCATGACGACCTAATCATCGGACCACCAAACTCGGAAAGTGAAAAACCCGGCAATCATCACTCAGCACGGAAGTACATTAAAGTTGAAGTGGAATACATTAAAATTTGGACACCACAGTTTCTCTTTCACGGAATGTCTGATCGCGGTGTAGTCGTACTCACAAGTGAGACACCAAGATGCGGACGTAAATGGTGCATCAAGAGTGTCTCTAAGTCAAAACGTCCCTACGTCGAGTCTCATTTCCCCTTAGACTTACATTCTTTAATTTTCAATTGGTGTTTTATGGACAAAATACTCATCATAATTCCATGAAAATAAAAATAGTCTCCCAATTGAAACTGATTCAATCAATATCTTTCAACACAATATGGACATTTGGGGAATTGAATACTGATACCTCTGAACAGTACATAGAAATGTTGGCATACTCTGTAAAAATAACATTCAATTGAAAGGGAGAAGGAAGTCCCTCTATGCTGGAGGTAATTTTTTTTTAATTAGCTGAATGGATGGTAAATTGGTGAGAGAAATGCCCAAGAAATTTTCTTACATCAATTTTAGGGTTGTAAATATCTTTCTTGTAATTTGGCCTGAAATTAATTTGCAATTTTATCACGCAATGTCGATACGTTGAGTCACTGTCCGCATGTCGGGATTTTTTATATTAATTTTGTATGGGAAACTAAGTGTCCTTACGTCGAATTCTCCGCATGTCGAGGTGTCCGCATGTGGGGGTCTCACTGTACACGAACATATAGATTCCGTTTGACTGTTCTTTACTTAGTTCCCATTTGGAAATTTCCAAGGAAAGGTTTACTGTACAGTATAAGGCCCTTGAGACTTGAACCTTCTTTCTTTTATTTTGAATGAAAAATAAACAGGGCTGCCGGAAAAAAGTTGATTTATTCCTGACTCACCTCACACTGGGATATTTTAAATATACACTCGGTATACAATTTAACTGTCGGAATATTTAATGTTTTGTTATTAGCATTGTTATGAAAAAATCAAACGGGAGTTTGAAGGTTCAATGTTAGATTATTCAGCTCAATTCGGGAGTTTCCAAACAGAAGAACTACACAAAATTCCTTCAATTTTTTCTTATTTCGACCGGGTTTTGAATCCGTCAAAAATGAATACTTGAAGCGCTACAGTCTTCCTCACCGAAGATTGATTATACTGTACTGCATATGGAATAACGATGGTGTAAGATACATTTTTGGCCACATTTCAAGAACCGCGAAACTTCGGGAATTACAAATGCCGAAGCTCAGAATTTGGACTCGAAAAAGACGCCGATAGAAGTACAATAAGAGTACTGGCCAACGGATTTCGCCAGCTTAATTTGCATTTTCAATTTCATGTCAACATGACCATTTGAAAGAGAAGATGAGTAAAATATATTCGTCTTGAGCACAAAGAGGTCCGCTTTAAAGCATCCATGATTTCACGAACAGTATGTTAATATAATCGTATTTCCCATGTTAATATCATCTGACGGAAAAATTCTGAATGAAATTCAGAATGTCAACTTTTGTATAAAGTTGA